AAAATCACTAGTTGGTCATCGGAGAAGGATGCGGCTTTCGACTGTTGTAAAAACTGACAGTTTGGGTATGACAAAACAATGATAATTTATGAATTACCAAGGGTTCATAAGTGGGTGGTGTGGGGAAGGAGGGGCAAAAGTGAGAAGCAGCTACCAAGGGCTCAAGTAGAAAGGAAGTGTTTTGAGAATGATGATGACAACATGTGTACAGATGTGCTTGACCCAATGGATGGAGGTGTGGATTGTGATGAGTTGTATGAGGCCCCAATAAAATGGTTGAAAAAAGTCGGCAGTCTTGGAAAGGAACAGGGCAGTTCTACTGTGACCTACAGAGTAGCTACGCGTCAAACTCAACTTGATGGCAGTGACGTTTTTTCACTTTATATATTTTTAATAACTGTGAGAAATGCGACATTATTCCCTGGCAGAGGCAGGCAAATATGTCTGCAGAAGCTCAATTGATGGAACTTTCCCAAATGTAGAAGGCAATTTTGTCTTCATTTGCAATTCCCTTAATATTCCTGTGGTATAAATAGTTCTCTGCTTTGGGATTCTCCTCTAAAGTAGGTGTAACATTAGCCTAATTCCTTCATTAACAATGAGTGTGTAGAATCCTTTACCAGTGTGCATTGCATATTGTTATGACAGTCATAATTCGATCCTCCTTTGAAAATGTTTAAGGCGGTGTAGACGGTGGTGGGCAGTGAGCAGGCCTCCGACTTGACGAGACTGGCCGGTAGACCCAAGGACAGCTCTGCGTGTCTTGATTGTTTCCAAACTCGCCGCTCATGAGATCGCCCATCTTGCTCATCATAAAAGCAGCTAAAAAAGTAAAAACACGTAAAGCTAACTCCATACGCTGCATTAATTTCTTGAGTTGCCTTGAATCAAATATCTAGGTTCCCAAACTATGCGGTGTTTCATAGAGGAAATTAGAGATCCCATTTACCTCCTGGACTCTCCTCCGCTCATTTTCACTCTGGTCTGTTCTGGAGGACTTGGAAAAGCTGTCTTGCCATAATTTAGAAAACTAGTCCTCCTACGGTCTTTCCGTGGGGTGCAGCTTGGCAGGAACAATGTCAATAGAGAGCCTGCAGTTCTGTCTTCCTAAGAGGAGAACGAGGTTCCAGTACAGAAGCGACACTGTGTCTTCTCCACATCGAGGCGATATAGGTGTCACTGTGTTCTCCTCCGTCTGCTGAAAGGAGCCTCTGAAGAGAGGCTCACGTAGCACCACAAATGGTTCTCATGTTGAGTTTCATGCCACTCAAGTTAACTCGTGTGTGCAGGGATTCTACTGCAGCCGCCGCTCTGACTAGTGGAGTGAGGATGCTCAAGTTCAGAGAGCAGTGCTTTTCAATAGAATGTCTACCATTACCTGCTAGTTCAAGAACACACAGAATCAGGATACCCTAGTAGGTTTTCTAGTGGAGAATTTTAACTGTCTGCATATTGGAGAAGCATTCAGAAAACAGAGCCTGTAGGCAGGTAACATTTTCACAGTCTTTCTCTGTTTTGACTCTTTCAGCTGTACTTTCCCCAACATTCCTGGATACAATGCCCATTATGAAAAACACAGCTATGAATTAGAACACACCTGTTGGTATTAAAAAGACTGATTCCAGACAAGCAAAACAATTTTGAATACGAGAGGGAATCCAGCTGTGCAGGGTGTGTAGCCAATGTGAACCATGACACGCAGTAATGAGGCCTTCGTCACTGGGTGGCCCTCTCCTGCTTCTCACACCATCCTCATCGCCACTCACGCTCCTTCCCCACACTCCTCCCCTCTGTGTGTGCTCTGCACATCAGTCACAGGGCTGGTTTTGCAAGTCAGATATGTATCATTTTTTAAATTAATCATTTTGGGGGGGAGCTCTTACAAATCTTATAACGATCCATCATCCAGTGGTATTAGCACACTTGTATATATGTTACATCACCATTTCCAAAACAATTTCTTTCTACTTGAGCCCTTGGTATCAGCTCCTCTTTTGTCCCCTTCCTCCCCCTGCCTCCCACCCTTGTGAATCCTTGATCACTTATATATTATTGTTGTTATTTCATGTCTTACACAAGCAATTTCACATTTTTGTGGAGAGCTGTGAGCAACAGCTTAGAGAGCTGTTAAGTGCCCTTAGAGAACACTGCCGGGACCATGGCAAAGTAAATCCAGGCACAGTGCTGAAGAGCACCCACATTTCCATGCAGGTGAGATGTGGGGTCAAAACCAAATCAATAGAAGCCCACTTGGGATCTAAAGCTGATTCTCAAAGAAAACACTCCTAGGTCTGTCATTAGACTGCCTTAGAAATAAGGAGTTATAAGAAATCATAAACACAGACACATCTCATCAGGAGAATGTAACCATAGTACAGCTGAATGACAAAGAGAATAAGAAAACATCAGCATTATTTATGTGTACGAACCATCGGTGCCACCAACTTTAATAACTTATCATCCACCAGAGATAGCCAAGGTCTAGGTAAGTAGTGGGGTAATTTATGTGTTTTCATGGTTTTCCTTCTTGACCAAACTCACTGCCATCAAGTCGATTCTGAATCATAATGTGACCCTCTCTCAGACTCGTGAATTTTAGTTGCCAACCTTACAGTTATCAGCCCAACTATTAACCCAGCACTCCACAGAAAAAATAAATTTAGTTCCGAATTTCCCTGTGACACAGCTCTCATAAATTTTAATATTTTATCTCACTGGATTTGCCACGTCTAGATAACTCATATTAGTAGAATCACACAACATTTGTGTTTTTGTATCTGACTGATTTAACTGAAGGGAGACCTGGAAATGCAGTGATTGCATGTTATGCTGTGATCAGAGGTTCAAACCCATCAGCCGCTCCAAAGGAGAAAGAAGAGTCTTTCAACTCTCATGAAGTGTTCCCATCTCAGAATCTCACAGGGCAGTGCTGCCTTGCCCTATAGGGATGCTGGGAGGTGATATTGACTCACTGACAGTGCATATAAGGTTCTCATATTCCATACGTAGAGGAGTGTATCAGAACTCCATTTCTCTTTGTGCTCAATTGTGTGTGTGTGTGTGTGTGTGTGTGTGTGTGTGTGTGTGACATATTGTGTTTACCCACTCATCTGTTCCTGGGCACTGGGTTTGTTTCTACCGTTTTGCTATTGTAAATATGTAAATAATGATGCAGCCAACTGTGTTGTGCAAGGAACTGTCAGCTTTGGATGAATACAAAGCGGGGAGATTCTGTGGCAATCCGATGTTTCCTTTTCAGAGGAACCACCAACCTGCTTTCCATGGAGGATGTGCCATTTTGCATTTCAACCAGCAATAAATGCGAATTTCTATATCTCCACATACTCACCAACACTGGTTATCTTCTATTTCCTGACATAGAACGCATGCCAAATATCAAATGGTGCTGTATTGAAGTTTTTGTTCCCATATCTCTATCAAATAATGACATCTATAGTCTTTCATGTGTTTCTTCAACTCACTATCTTTTACTATATAGTTTTCAGATAAAATGATGAGACTACAATGGAACAAAGAAGGTAACAGGTGACATTAGCTGACCTTGTATTAGTAAGAATGAGCGATACCATAGAATGTCAGGAATTCCAAAAAATAGACTATGTGCCCATTCGTTCAATGGTATTTCTAAAAAGAGCTACTGAGTGAACTGCAGATGTACTAGTGTGTCTGAAAGAACTTCAGCTCTGGACTGGAGATAGACATTTCATAGTGATCGATAGTGTCCTCTCAGGATAAGCTTCTATATTACCATGTCCGCCTGGTTGTTAGAGAAGCAAAACCAGTGACACTCACACATGCATAAAAAAGGGCCTTATACCAACCAGTGATTTTATAACAAGAAGGAATCTCAGCATGGTGCAACTCAAGTTCATGAGTCTGATGCTAGCCAGAGAGCTCTCTAGACCCACGGAGCTGTCAGTCAGGGACGTAAAAAGGTGCAGCAGAAAACAGAGAGATCACATGCCGATAAGTGCTGAGTCACATGGATCTAGAGTTGGTGGAAACAGGGCAAGATGTTGCAACTCCTTGGGGTAGGTGCCCCACATGGGGTTCCAACGAAGGCAGACATAGTGTGCAAGCGAGGAAGGAGGCAACGGAGCAGAGAGAGAGACAAGGGCCTAGTGTCTCTGGGTAAAAGTCACACACCCAGCTGATAACCATTGAAGATGAGTAGACAACAAGAGAAAAACTTCACTTAAAAAAAAAAGCTGGGGATTAGGGCATGGAGGGTGGGGAAACCTATCCAGAAGGTCAGCTTCCAAAGTCTTGCCTTTTTTTCCTCTTAAAACTACCTAAAATATGAAATTTTGTACTTTTATTTACATTTTATATTTCTGTACATAGTATTAGGGGTATGTCATATTTAATGATCTCAGATGACCAAACAAGCCTTTGTAGTGGTCCCTGTCCTGCTTCTGACTGTACTTGTGGTGTGACTGTGTTCATTATAATCTCAGAAGAGGAAAAGAAACAAAAAACTTTAAAACAAAACATCTGATTTTAAGCATTTCAGGAACTATTTTGTGTGTGGACTTACCTATACTAGAAGTAGTTGGTTTGTATGATATGGTTAAAAAAGCCAAAGATAAAATATTTCCCCCCAAAAAAAAGTCAAATACCCTAGGAGGTATCACCAGGCTACAACCTGATTTACTGGTTGGGTTCCACCCCTACATTTTCACACAGGTTCAAGTTGACATAAAATATAACCACCATGCTATCATCCTCTACTTTCTTGAGAAAATGTCTTTGAAAAGTGTAAGATAGTCAACAGGTGCCAGAGACCAAATCAGTCGAATTTGAGCAAACAGGCTTTATTGGGGAGAAAAACCCAGCCTGGGGGAAGGCCACGGTCCAAAGTGTCTGGACCGAGGAAGTCGCACTCCAGATTATAGGAGTGGTGTTTATATAGCCGGGGAACATGTGACTGGGCTGCCTTGGGTCCACATAAGGTAAAGTAGTCAGGGATTGGGAGCTACAGGTATTTCCGGGTTTCTGGAATGTAAGATGTCTTCCTGGTTCCGGGTTTATTGGTGCCAGGTGCAGAGCAGTGGGCTGAGAACTAAGCGGGTAGTGAGCCAAACAGGCCAAGAACAAAACAGGCCATGAGTAAAAGAAAGAAAAAAACTTGCAAATTTGCTGACAGGTTACATTAGGCAGCTCTGGTCAGTTCTGCAGGTGTGTGTGGGAGATTCAAGGTGACTTGCTGCTAGAAGCCGGCCTGGTATTGATCCAGCCATACATAAAGATGCTTTTGAACTGATTAGTCATTTTCTAAATAAAAGTCTTTCCAGTGATGGTTGATTCAGGAATGTTCACGGAAATGTCTATCATCCTCGCTTAGAGCAGTGCACCAGGGATACTTCAAAGAAAGTGAAGGCCATTTCCCATATCCCAGTTCATGGAGTCCGTTTGGATAAGTCAGGGGCGGGGACCTTCACCCTTCTCACTTTGAGTGCCAAGAATCAGATGCAGATGACCTATGACGAGCTAATGCTGCTCTTTAATGACTGCTTTCTGCAAAAGAAATTTAGCATCATCCACCACAGTGTCAAGAAAATGATTTTGCAAATAGAAAGTCTTTCTAAAGTAGAGCCCAGTAGCAAGAAGTCCTCCACCGATAAAGCAGAGTTTCTCCAACATCTTCCATAATTTGTCCGCTAGGAGATCATCATCTTTTGCCACTGACAGCAAATCTGGAGACTTCAAATTTGCCTTGAGTTCTTCTACTGACAAGTGCAAGTCCTTGGCTATATGTTCCAGAGATGCATCATCCAACCCAAAATAAGACCTATAGAAAGTTAAGGTCACCTCCAACTGCTCCACATCACTGTCACTGATGCATCCCATGACAGGAATCGTGGCAAGTGCTCCACACTGCAGGGCCTCCAGCCAGATCTTCTGCCTCAAATAATCCTTCCTCCGTTCAATGGCAGCATCCGTAACACAAGGAAGGCATTGCGTGAAGATGTGACGTTTATAAGCTGGAAGCTCCTCCAGAAGGGTGGTCTCCAGCTTTGGGAAATCGTAGTCAGACACTTCAAAACTGGAGATTAGAAAGACCCCAGCATCGTTCACACCAATGGCCCGCAGGTTACGCAAGCAGTCCTCTCGGATCATTTGTAGGGTTTTATCCTTACAGAAGTTCTTGGGTTGAGCTCTTCTTTGATTTTTTAAATCACTGTCCACCTTGGATCGGACAAAGTAGAAATTCTTCTTCATTTTTTTAATGACTGTGGCCAATTGTGAATCATATTCTTTAAAGCGTGTAGCACAAATGATAATAAAAAAGTCATACTCATTAAAGTTCACTTTCTTCAGATACTCCTGAGGCTGAAATTTAGTTGTTCCAATGCCAGGCAGGTCCCACAGTGTCACATTGGGGATCTTTGCATGACAATATGACTTTCTCTCCATCGTTGTCTCCACGACCCCACAGGCAGCTGCATCAAGATCTTCATGCCCAACACCTCTGAGGGCATTAATGAAACTAGATTTTCCTGACCCAGACTCACCTGTCACAGCAATATTCACTGCAGCATTCTCAATCTCTTTCATTGCAGCACTGATCACATTAGCTGTCCCTTGAACATCCCCTTTCTCAATATTTGATTTAATCAACTTGATCATTTCAGAAGAGAGCATTTGGCTTTCTATCTTGAAATCCTTAAAAAATTCCTCGACACTTGAAGCCCAAGTTTTATTCTTTGGATCAGCGGGTGTATTGGAGGATGACTGGCCCATTGTTGTGAGTAGTATAGGACACTAAAGAGAGGGAAGAAGAAGGAAATAAAATGTATTAGTGGATAAAGGAGTACCAATACCCATGTCAATTGATAGACAAAGCTTTCTATTCTTTTTGAATGCAAGTTTTGTCTGGAATCCTGGATTGATATAAAGTTTACATTGCTAAGGAAGCACTTTACCTTGGAATGCTCTCCTTGTTGAATAAACTCTCAGAGGATAGCGTCCGTTATATTTCAATCACACACACAATCTAGGCAGAAGCTCATGGCAAAACTTTGTCAAAACCCTGGAAACCATTAAAATGGTCACAAAAACTTAGCAAAGTATTGGAATAATAACAACAGCAAAGGGTCAAGTGTGTCACATGTTAGGGCAGCTTTGAACTTTCTGTGAGCTGCCCTTCGGCACCTCTTTGACTTGGCATGAGTCCCTGAAACCTTGGTATCCTTCAATCCTGGAAGCAAGCCTCATTTCTGTCACTGGAAGGGGACACCAAACATCATTCACAAATCAGAGTGTGTTTCTCTTCTGGCCTGTCTGGAGCTGTCTAAACAACTGAAAGAAATTTTCATTTCTGTTTGGCCATACTCAGAGCTTGCGTGCACCTGAGGGGAGAAGGACATTGCTGGAAGTCTGTACCCTCATGTAATCATTCAGAGCTAAAGACCGAAGTATCACCTAAACACCAAAAGGAGTATCAGAGAAAAGGACTCCTTCGGAAATTGAAGTCTTGAAACAGGTGTGTGGAGCATCTCACTGCTGTTCTTAGGTGCCTGCAGTTGGTTCCAACCCACAGCAACCCCATGTGCGATCAAACCCAACACTGCCGTCCTGCACCGCCCGCACCCTCCTGCCTGTGCTCAGCCCAAGATCACAGCTATGTGTCTAGTCCTCTTCTCGAGGGGCTTCTCTTCGGCCCCGCCCCTCCGCTTCCCCAGCATGATGGCCTTCTCCAGGGCCTGCTCTCTCCTGACCACATGCTAATGGGTATGAGGAGGCTTCAGAAAGATGGTGCCAAGGGAAGGGTGACCATTATTGGGAGCTCTGTGAGTGATTGCTGGGTTGGTGGACTGAGAGTCTGAGTAGGGGCTCTACAACGCACATTTGGTCCTTGCAGCCCCGCAGGGCTCTGTCCCAGTCCGTGGGATGACCGTTCCTGTGGCGCAGTTTTGCCCTGCCCTGACATCCACAACGCTCAGCTGCCACAGCTTGCGGCCTAACACCCCGACCACAGGAACCAGTACCACTTGCGTCATTGTCCTACCCGCGATTCATGGGTGTGGTGCAAGCTGCAGCCCTGCCCAAGTCGCCAGCAGAATCTGAGTGGCCCAGGGATCGAGCTGGCGGCATCTTCACAGCCCACGCTGCTAGGAGACCACAGACCACGACTGTGGAGCAACATGCCCGCCTACAGCCCCACCAGAAACAGCCTGAGAAGACCGCAGATCCAGCTACCCACGCTGTTTGTGTCATCTGAGAGACATGTCTGCCGACAACTCTGGACTCTGCCCACACTGCTTACAAGGCCTTAGCAGCCCATAGATCTGGACAACCAGGTCTTAGCGGCCCAAGCCTCTGGCGCTGCCCAGGACTTGCATCTGCACTGAGTTCTGCCCCTCAGCCAGCACTGCCTGTGCACCTTAAATGGACCATGGCTAGAGGACCTAGCCAGGGCAGACTGAGCCAACCACACAGCTGGTGTAGCCAGCAATTTGACACTGCGTCTCACTCCAACCGACCCACTTGGGGCACTCACACCACCTTGCACACAGCCCAGGCCTCGCCAGAACAAAATGTAGAGCTCCTCTTGCCACACATGGACCCAGCCAGCACTGTCCCCAGCCCTGTATGCAGCACATAACGTACCAGCTCCAGAACCAACAACATCTCATGCAGACAACAACCCACATCAGCAGCCACAACAAGAAAGCAAGAGAAACAGATCGTAATGTCTGAAGAGATCTGAACCTAATGACATACATAAAAGAAGCATTCTGTGATGCTCACCTTCCCAACATGATTGCTGAAGACAAAGCGGGTGCATAAGTAAATGTGGTGAATAAAGCTGATGGTGCCTGGCTGTCAAAAGATATAGCATCTGGGGTCTTAAAGGCTTGAAGATAAATAAGTGCCCCTAATGAAATTAAAAGACTAATTACACAGTACTATGAAGGACTGTACTCCAATGAATTCAACAACTTGGAAGAAAAGGACAGATACCTGGAAAAACAAACCTTCCCCAAATTGTCTTATACGGGCATCAAGAACTTGAACATACCCATAACAAAAGGAGAAATATAAGGTTATCAAGGTTATGAAGGAACTATCAACTTAAAAACGACAACAGCAACAAAACCCTGCCCAGATGGCTTCACAGGAGAATTCTACCAAGCATTCAGGGAAGAGCTGACACCAATTCTACACAAACTCTTCCAGAACAAACAAAGGACAGTAAACTTACAAACACGGTCTATGAAGCTAGTTCAACATTGATACCAAAGCCAGGCAAGGATCCCACAAGAATAGAGAACTACAGGCCGATATCTCTAATGAACTTAGATGCAAAATACCTTAGCAAAATCTCGGCCAAAATAATGCAAAAGTATATGAAAAAGTAATCCATCATAACCAAGTGGGACTCATACCAGAGATGCAGGGATTACTCAACATCCGAAAAGTCATCATTGTTCATGGCAACATATATACAAGTGAGCTGAATGCAACTGAATGATGGATTGTTATAAGATTTGTAAGAGTCCCCCAATAAACTAACTAATAAAAAAGAAAAGAAAATCCATCACCATTAGCCATCACATTGACAAGAAAAAGGATAAGAAACACATGATAAAATCAATAAATGCAAAAAAAGGATTTGACAACATCCAATGCCCATTTCTAATTGAGACACTCAAGAAGATAGAATCAGAAGGAAATTACTTCCATTGAAAGTAAAAGGAAATAGAGGAAAGAACTAAGAGGCAAAGGGCACTTATACAGGTCTAAATATAGGCATGTACATATGTAAATGTATTTATATATAACAATAGGGAAATGGATATATGTAAATATATTTATATGTCAAGTATTAAGTTAGCAGATGGACATTGGCCTCTACTCAAGTATTGCCCCAATGCAAGAAGACTTTGTTCTAATAACCTGGTACGCCGTGATGCTTACCTTCCCAACATGAATGCTGAAGACAAAATGGGTGCATCAGCAAATGTGGTGAAGAAAGCTGATGGTGCCTGGCCATCAAAAGGTATAATGCCTGGGGTCTTAAAGGCTTGAAGATAAACAAGCAGCCATCTA